CATATCGGCACGCCCCGCGCGTGTTTCATGTCCCCATCGGGGGCTTCACCGAATGCCCCAGTGGCACCCATCTCGGAACACCCCTCACACGCTCCGTGGTCCTATGGGGAGTTCCACTGAAGATGAAACCCGCAGCTGCGGTACTGACAACTGCATATGGTTGGGTTCTTCGCCAGGCTAATTGGTTTGGGAGCTCCGGAAGAGGAGGAGGAGGTGCTGGGGGGAGGCCGCGGGGAGCACTTGAGCTTCCACAACCCCAAAAAACAAAATAACCAAAAATACAGTGTTTCCTTGCATCCTAGACACAAAAAAAACAGCGTTCTCTTGCACCAAGGGCGTCAAACACTGTGTATTCTTGGTTCTCTCGCTTTGCAACAAGGAGGAGGAAAGGAAAGGAGGAGAAGTAGAGGGAAAGAGGAAGGGGGAGAAGGAGGAGGCGCTGGGGGGAGGCCGCGGGGAGCACTCAAGAATTCCAAAACCAAAAAAAAAAAAAAAAAAAAACGGAAAGGAAAAGGAGGAGAAGGAGGGGGAAAGAGGAAGGGGGGAGAAGGAGGAGGTGCTGGGAGGGAGGCCGCGGGGAGCACTTGAGCTTCCAAAACAAAACAAGAAACAGTGTTTCCTTGCATCCTAAACCAAAAAACATTATAAATATCCCTTTTTGTAATAAACAGAAAAACGTTTCCTTGCTCCGAGGGCGCCAAACACTGTGTATTATTGGTTTTACGTTGCTACACACGGGAGGAAACGGAAAGGAGAAGAAGGAGAAGGATGATGGGCGAGGAGGAGGAGGAATTGTGTATGGAGAAACAGGAAAGGGAAAGGAGAAAGAGAAGGAACGGATAAGGAAAAAGATTAGGAACGGAGAAGCAGAGAGAGGAATAACCTTGGAGGGGGCGACCATATATATATATATATATATATGCATACATACATACATACATACATGCGTACATACATACATACAAATACATATACATATATACCTATGCATATACATATACATATACATATACGTATACATATACATATATGTGTATGGGCATACATACATACAGATCTGCATGCATGTACACATGAGAGTATGCATGCATACATGCACACATCGTTTAAACCTACATGTGTATACATATATATGTATATATATATATATATATATATATATATATATGTATTCATGTATAGATGCATACGCACATATATACGTACATATCTACATACATACGTAGATGCACATGCATACATGCATGCATATGCACATACATATATACATGCGTATATGACCAGGGGGGCTAGAGGGCTATAGGGCAATTGAGCTATAGGGCTATAAAGCTATAGGGCTATAGAGTTGTAGGGCTATAGGGCTATTGAGCTATTGGGCTATAGGGCTATAGGGCTATAGGGCTTAGGGCTATAGGGCACCCCCGGGCACCCCCGGGCACCCCCGGGCACGCCTGGGCACCCGGGCACCCCGGGCACCCGAGCACCCGGGCACCTCCGGGCACCCCCAGGGCACCCGGGCCCCGGGCACCCCCAGGGCACCCGGGCACCCGGGCGTGCAGAAAAAATCGGCGACAAACCGAACCTAATGATACCGGAGAAGAACCCAATCAGGGCTATAGGGCTAGGGCTCCTCCAAGGGCCTCCCGGAAGGCCCGAAGAGGCCAAAATCATTGATTTTCCTAAGGTGTTTGAAGGATTTTGGCATTTGCTTCTTTCCTGCCTTCCGACGGCCCGAGACGGCCCGAGAGTCCCCAAGGATCGCTCCAAGATCGCCCAAGAGGCCTCCAGGATGGCCCCAGAACCGCCCAAGAGGTCCCTAAGACGGCCCCAAAAGGGCCCCAAGACGGCCCAAGAGGCCTCCAATACGCCCAAGATGGCCTCCAAGACGGCCCTGGAGCACCCCAAGAGGGCCCCAACTCGGCCCAGAGAGGCCCCCAAGACGGCTTCCGACGGCGTCAGACGGGCCAGGAATCCAGAGGGCTCGAAAACGGCGAAGACAGGCCTCCAAGACGACTTCCGGCAGCGTCCGACGGGCCAGGAACGCTTTAAGACAGCCAAAGAGGCGCCCAAGAAGCCCCCAAGAGCTCCCAAGAAGCCCAAAAAGCTCCGATGAAGCCCCACAAGCACCGAAGAACTTTGCACATCAGCTTGTCAAGGGCTTGGGCGTGCTAGAACCTCAGCGCGTGCGAAGCGCGCGTGGCTCTAGTGTACATGTATATGGATATGTATGTGCATATGTGTATATGTATGTATGTGTGCATGCATGCATGTACGTATGTATATGCACGTATGTATACATATGGATATATGCATGCATGCATGCATGCATGCATGCATGTATGTTTGTATGTATGCATGTATGTATGTATGTATGTATGTATGTATACATGCATGGATGTATGTATGCATGCATACATGCATGCATGCACGCATGCATGAATGCATTGATATTTGTATGTATGTAGTGTATGTATATCGTGCATGCATATGTGTGTATGCATGCATGCATGCATGCATGCATGCATGTATGCATGCATGTATGTATTTATTTATACATGCATACATGTATGTATGTATACACGAATACATGCATACACGCATGTATGTATGTATGTGTGTATGTATGTATGTATGCATGTATGTGTATGTATGTATGCATGCTTGTATGTATGTATGTATGTATGTATGTAATGTGATGTAATGTAACGTAATGTAATGTAATTGAACGTAATGTAATGTAATGTAATGTAATGTAATGTAATGCAATGTAATGTAATGTAATGTAATGTAATATAATGTAATGTAATGTAATGTATATATGTATGTGTGTATGTGTGTGCATGCATGTGTGTACGTACATACGTCGCAAGTACGTGTATATATATATACATGTATATATAAACATGTGTGCATGCATGTGTTTGCGTTTGCTTGCGTGCGTCTATGTATGTATGTATGCGTGCGTGTATGTGTGTACATGTGCATATGTATGTGTGTACGTGTTTATACACATGCACACATCTGTATGTATGTATGTATGTATGTATGTGTGTATGTATGTATGTATGTATGCATGCATGCATGCATGCATGCATGCATGTATGTATGTATGTATGTATGCATGTATGTATGTGTTTACGTCTGTAAGACTGAATGCGTGCATGCGTGTAAGTAAGATGTTATGTATGTATGCTCCTCAATCAGAGCTTGCCTATGTAGGGGTCCTAGCCGATTCATATGGTTCACCAATCAGAGCTTGCCTCTGTAAGGGTCCTAGCGGATTCACATGGTTAGGATCAGCCGATTTTCGCTGCACGCCCGGGTGCCTGGGTGCCCGGGGGTGCCCGGGGCCCGGGTGCCCGGGGGGTGCCCGGGGTGCCCGGGTGCCCGGGTGCCCGGGTGCGCGGGTGCCCGGGTGCCCGGGCGTGCCCGGGGGTGCCCGATAGCCCTATAGCCCTAAGCCCTATAGCTCTATGGCCCTATAGCCTAATAGCCCAATAGCCCTATAGCCCTACAATTCTATAGCCCTATAGCTCTGTAGCCCTCTAGCTCTATAGCTGGGCCGTCTTGGGCCATCTTAGAGCCATCTTGGGCCGTCTTGGTGGTCTCCTGGCCCGTCTGACGCCGTCGGAAGCTGCCTTGGCGGCCTCTCTGGGCCGACTTGGAACCTTTTTGGGGTGTTCCAGGGCCGTCTTGGAGGCTTCCTTGGGCGATTTCTAAGCCTCTTGGGCCGTTTTGGACCGGGAACGGGAGGTCCTAGAGCCCCGGTCCCCCCATGGATAGATGGGGCTGGGCCTCCCAGGGGACCTGGAACCCTGGATATATAGAAATACAATATACACAGAATCAGATGCAAATACATATGCATACACATACACCTAGACATAGACATAGACCTGTACATATACATCTGCATATAAACATGTGATGTACGCATACGAATACATATACATATACCTAGACATAAATCTACACATATACATATACACATACATATACCAGTCCGTATACAAATACAAATACCGCATACATACACAACGGCACACATATATCTGAATACACGCATGCACCTATACATACATATACATATATATATATATGTATATATATATACATATATACATATATATGTATGTATACGTTGACATGCAAATGCATACGGATGCATACATACACAGATACGTATACGTACACATATGCATATACACATACACATACAGAAGCATAAGCATACACACAGAGATTTAAACATACATAAGCATACATAAGCATAAGCATAAGCATACACGATATAAGCACACATACATACAAGTGTGTATACTTATGGATTGTATATACGTATATAAACATGCGTAGCCATAAGCATAGACATATACATATGCAAATGCATATACGTATATATGCATACATACATACATACACATAGCTATACACAAACATAACTATACGCATACGCATACATATATATATATATACACGCATACCCATATGCAGCCACAAATATATCAACATACATGTTTGGCAAATTCATGTACCTATACACACATGTGTGTACATATGCATGCAACTATATGCTCACATCTACAATTACATATACATGTACATATACATATGCATATACACTTACAAATACATACACCTACACAAACACGTACACATATACATATAGATAAGCATACTCATGTACACAAGCTCATGCTTATGTATACACATGTTCGGAATCACATACAAACACATATATATATAACACATCGACATATACATAAGCATACACACATACGTGTACATGCATGTCAGTGTACATTGTACATATACATACGCTGATACGTATACACATTTATCGACAACACATACGCATACGCATACACATACACATACACATACATATACTGTGTGGATGTGATGGGGGAAGGCCCCAAACTGTGCCTTAAGACCGGCGTATTCCAGTCTGAACGTTTATGCCGAGATGGATATGGAAGAGTGAGTAGGTTAGCTCCTTATCTTCGCACAGGACTTCAAGGCGACTGCGCGAAACGGCACGCAGGTGCCCTGACGAGAGACAGCTCTGCTGGCCGCCTCCGCACACGCTCAAGCCATCAGCCAAGGTGCCGTAGAGCGGCCCGCACCGACAGTACGGAGCGGCCGGCCATGTCGCGATAGCCCAGACGCTCAAGGATTGCGGCAAATGCCAGCCGCGCCAAATACTTCGCACAGGCCGGCGCGCTAGCAGAATACGGGCATCTGTGCTGCGGCGCTCTAGCTTGAGGGTCCAGACCTCCACGCGCCGGAGGCACCTTGCGCCTCGCCTCCTCGCGATGCCCGACGCCGCCGCGGCGTCGCCGTGGAGCCGCGGTTTCAGGTCACGGCAAAGGTCCTCAGCCATGTTCTCGAAGCCGATGCCGACACAGCCGCCTCGGACCGCCTCTGCCGGGCCATCCGCTGGACCATCTCTGGCCTGCCGAGGAGGTAGCGCCAGAGGTGCCTCAGCATGTCCAAAGGCGCCATCCGAAAGAGACTGCACAGGCCTCGCCAGCTCTTTGCCCGAGTACCGATCCTCTGACAAGTAAACGGCCCGCATGGCCAGGCTGCGATACTGGCTGTCTGCGGCTGGCGGCAGCGCCTCGCCCAGCTCCTCAGTCTTCTCGCGCGCGCTGGGCGCGGACAGCGTCCGCGAGCAGGCGCACGTCCGCCAGCAGCTCGACCGCGTCTGGCTTGTCATGCGTGGCCCGCACCCATTTGGTCCACATTTGCTTAGCCAGGTCGGTGCGCAGCCACTCCTGGTCGAGCCTCGACCCGCGGGAAACGAAATTGTCGTCACCATACACGCACACTCGCGGATTCCTCAAGCAATACTGAAAGTTACACTGGGTCCCAGCCCCAGCGTCGAAGTCGAGGCCCTCCATGACAGAGTGGGCGAATAACTCGAAATTCCGGCCCGCATCGCGCAGGCCGTGAACCGATTTCAGAAGACGTTCGCTCAGCTCGGGATCGTTGCTGCGCGGGTCCTCTGGGGGCAACGCCACCCACACATCACGGTGCATCTCGCAGCGCGGATGCGCACGCGTGATGTCGATGAACATCAAAACGATGTCATGATCAACATCATCCCGAAGGACTCGCAAGGCGGAGTAGCGGAGAATGTCTGCGCGAGGTTGTCGGTGTCCATGGAGGCGACGCACTTCGTCTCCTTGACATTCCATCTTGACCGCAGCGCCCTTGTTCCCGAAGGGATGGGCGGCCGGCCGGTGGCCGCCAGACACTCGGTCTTCTTCTCGACCACGTAGGCGCCTAACTTCTTCAGGAGAATCATCTCCTCGGCCCTCGCCGTCGACACGAGCGCGGGGTCGAGCTTAGCCGAAGTGACGGCGTGGTACACCTCATTGTTATACTACCCCAGGTAAACTTGCCACTCATCAGGCCAGTCAACGTGGAATCCGGCCTCCGAGCGACGAATCATGTGCGACGGAGGTGGTATCGGAGCATTCGCAGCACGGCTGCCAACAATCTCACCTGGCCGCGCCCCTGCGGACTACTTCGTCAACAGACCGCCGCTACGATCTCAGGGGAATTCGTCAACCACTTCGTCGGCGCCGCGACGGGCCGCACGTCGCGCATGCTCTGATCGCCTTGAACGATCGGCTGCTTCGGGAATGTTGGATGCTTCAACATCTTCGTCGCGGGCGACGTTCAACGTGGAACGCCGGCAGCGGGGTCGCAGCCAATCGACACGACGCGAACCTGCAGCAGGTGGTTGCATATCACGGTGGATATGGGGAGCCATCGCCATCGAGGCAGGGCAGCGGGAAGGCGCCATGGCGGCGTGTGGAGAAGAGCCGAAACTCCGCTGCCAACTAGAAGGAAAGGTTGCAAAGCGGAAGCTAACGTGCGCGGATGAAAAGCACGAGGTTCATAAAGCGTGCAAATCATGAGGTCAATAAGACGTGTAAAGCATGGGCACGTGGTCCAGCCAGACGACGTGCCCCAGAGCCAAGAGGGGCAACGGTGGGAGAGACGATTGAAAGAGGCAAAAGGGCAAGACAAGTCGATGATACACCATTCGAGAAGGAGGAGACGGCAGAGGAGGAGGAGGAGGAGGAGAAGGAGAAGACCTCAAGGCCCCCGTCGAGCTCCACCGACAGGCGCATGTGGTTGGTCACCGCCTCCCCGCCGGGGATCTCCTGGGCCCGCGCGCAACCAAAGCCTGCGACCTCCAATCGCCCAGCTCCAGACGGAGGAAACGGAGAATGCAGATGAGGTTCGAGGATCGAACGTCGAGGTTTTCATGGCTTCTGCCCTTAGCTGGACCTTCGAAGACCTCGTGAGACCCCAGGAGACCTCGTGGGGATCCTCTGGGAAACATTGACGTATGCGGACCCTCAGGCGCCATCAGTCCAAGGCAACGATGAGGTCGAAAGGCCTGGGGACCAACGTCTGCTCGCGTGCCACTCAATACGTATATCCCGAACCCTCTTCGTCTTCGATCGTACCCATTACCTGCCTCGCGTACTTGGCGCAGCCCCTACAACAGGGAAAGGAAGGGAGGAGGGAAGAGACAAACGGGAGGATGAAGGATGGAGCACAAGAAAAATCTGCCGCAGGGGAATCAAGAGCAGGAGCACAAGCGGCAGAATCAGACGGGCGTGTCGGGCGGGCGGACCCTAACGGGCAGGTCGGGCGTGTGGGCCATGACGACCAGGTCGAGCGGGCGGGACAATGACGCGTCAACCCAACATGAATCGCAAAGAAGTTTCGAAGGATCGCGCGATTCCCAAGCAAACCGTGAAGAAATCCCAAGCGAGAGCGTGATTCCTGAGTCTCGGGAGCAGGCGGCGTCTGAATAATTTTGTTTTGAATAGAAATACCACGCGAGAGCGCCATCCATGCACAGAAAAAATGACGAAATCCCGCGCGAAAGCGCGATTCTCACATAAACTGCGAAGGCATATCAGGCGGAAGCCGTTGTTGTTGTTGTTGTTGTTGTTGTTGTTGTTGTCGTTGTTGTTGTACGTCGAGGGCAAGGGGCGTAATCTGAGGAGAGAGACTCTCCCTTGTAAAAAAAGGTGCGAGCCTAAGGAGGAGCACTGAAATTGAAACACACAAGGTGCACCGACGGGAAGATGAACCATAATTAACCCTCGGCCTGTAGAAATGAAACTTGTTATACAACAAATAAAAATAACTAAACATAAATAGTTTTTATAACTAAACACGTTAAGACTGTTCGCTCTTCTCTGCTCGAGTGCCCGTTGACGCGTACTTCCCAAACCTCGATACCCGCCCTTTTCGTCTTCGATCGTACCCCTTTTTGGGGGGTATACCTTTCTTCCCTGCAGGCCGGGCCCCGGCAAGCGGCGGGGCGGCCGCCGACCGTCGGCCTGGCCAGCGGCAGCGCTGATCGGCGGCAAATCGACCCCAAGAGGGACGGACAGGGGACCGACCACGACGATGACGACGACGTCGACGACACGACGGCGACGACGACGACGATGACGACGACGACGACGACGAGCGAAAGCGAGAGCGAGAGAGAGAACGACAGCAGCGCCACAAAGGGCAGGAAGTAGGCCACGAAGAGCGACAGCGGGGACACGAAGGGAATGCGTATGGGGCCACGAGGAGCGCGAACGAGCGGAGGCCACGAAGGGCAGACAATGCGGGGCCACAGAAGGCAACGACGGGGGACAGCGGGGCCACAACAGGCGACAGCGGGGCCACGAAGGGCATGTACATGGGGCCACGACGGGCGCGAACGAGCGGGGGCGACGAAGGGCATACGTATATTGGGCCGCGGACGACCAGGACGGGGCCACTGAGGACAGCAACAGGGCCACGAAGGGCAGCGAGGGGGCCACGAAGGGCGACAGCGGGGCCACGAAAAGCATGCATATGGGGCCACGATGGGCGCGAACGAGCGGGGGCCACGAAACGCTGCAACGGGGCCACGGAGGGCAGCGAGGGGGCCACGAAGGGCTGCAACGGGGCCACGACGGGCAGCGAGGGGGCCACGAAGGGCTGCAACGGGGCCAGGAAGGGCAGCGAGGGGGCCACGAAGGGCTGCAACGGGGCCACGAAGGGCAGCGAGCGGGCCACGAAAGGCTGCAATGGGGCCACGAATGACAGCGAGGGGGCCACGAAGGGGTGCAACGGGGCCACGACGGGCAGCGAGGGAGCAACGGAGGGCTGCAACAGGTCCATGAAGGGCAGACAGGGGGCCACGAAGGGCTGCAACGGGGCCATGAAACAAAGCGACGGGGCCACGAATGGCTGCAAAGGGGCCACCGAGGGCAGCGAAGGGGCCACGAAGGGCTGCGACGGGGCCACGACGGGCAGCGAGCGGGCCACGAAAGGCTGCAACGGGGCCACGAAGGGCAGCGAGGGGGCCACGAAGGGGTGCAACGGGGCCACGAAGAGCAGCGAGATTCCGATTCCTATAATCTGCGAGGGAATCCACAGCGTGAGCGCGACTCCCGGGCGCCTGAATGTCGGGAGCGCGGCGCTTGAAAAAAAACGTGGGACACTCCAACGCAAGGGTGCTGTTCTGAAGTAACTTGCAAGCAAGTCTCCAGCGAGAGCGCGACTCCAGAGCGCCGAGAAAACAAATTCCTTCATACATTGGAAGGATGGAAATAAGGAAGTCCCAAGCGAGAGCGCGATTCCTGAATACCATGTAAGGAAGTCTCGGGCGGGAGCGGGGGCCCTGGCTAAGTTGCAAGGACGTCTCAAGCGGAAGCCGTTGTTGTTGTTGTTGTTGTAACCTGGGGGCCAACAACACAGTTTGAGGAAGAAGGCTTTCCCTGATAGAAAAAAACAAGGGGCGAACGCCGGAAGGGGCACTTCAATTGAAAAATAAAATTCTGCACCGGAGGGGGATCAACAAGAATTAATCTTCAGTAGTGAGAGTTCAACAACAACAACAATAACAACAACAACAACAACAACAACAATCACTTTACCCGAACGCTCAGTGTTCTCACCAGTGCCAGGGTTTTCATGCGACGCCAGCCAATACCCCCACTTTGTGGGGGGGCAGTGCAAGCTCTACCAAATATCCACACGACTCTTCGCCACCACCCACACCCAGCTTCCCGCCCTATGACGTTCGGACACTTCACTTCGTGGCCTGCGGACGACCGTGGCTACTACACTGGCGTGGAGTACATACCCACAGAAGTTGTTAAGCCTACGTTCGTACACCCACAGAAGTTGTTAAGCCTTGTTAACCCACAGAAGTTGTTAAGCCTTCCACAGAACATCTGTTGCATATGATGCATATGGTACATGATACACATGATACACATGATACGTAAAAGCCCGTTTGACAGAAATGTTTAAAAAGTGTTGGGTTTCCTACGAATCCGCAAGAGCGCGCGGGATGAGATTTTGACAATTTTTTGTTGGAAAACCATTGGTTTTTTGATGTTTTTATGTTAAAATCGCTGCGAACACTAAGGTTTTGGAAGGATTTCGTCTTGCGCGCGCGAATGTCCACTTTACCTTATTTTTTGCAAGGGATTCTTGAAATTTGATTATATTAGAACAAGAAATGTCATTTTCTATTGTTTTTTGCAAGGGAAAGCGGATTACAACAAAACAACCGGATCCTGTACACACCCTCTTTTCTGAGGCTTCCTCACGAAAATGATGAAAATGTAGCTGCGGCCTAGGCGGCGCAGGGGGGGCGCGCACCAGGGGGCCCAACAATAATTATTCTTTAGAATAAATAATGTTCAACAACATCAACAACAACAACAACAACAACAAAAACAACAACAACAACAACAACAACAACAACAACAACAACCATTATCAGACTGTTCGCTCGTACTTGCCCGCGTGCCATTCAAAACGAACTCCCCACACCCTCGACACCCGCCCTTTTCGTCTTCGATCACACCCCGGGGGATTATTTTTCTTTGCGGGAGGCGGCGGGCTTAGACTGGCGGACAAACCTGAACGGGCGGACAACCCTTCGTGGGCGTACATGTGCCCGCCATTGCAATTGGTGTGGGCCCTGCAAAAAGAGGGGGAGAACGAGGGTGAGTGGGAGGAAGGGAGGGGGAGGGACGAAGGAAGAGGGAAAACGTCAGGAGATAAGGAACGAAGAGGGGGGCGGTTGATTAGAGGCAGAGAGAGAGAGAGAGAAAAAAAAAAAAAAAAAAAAAAAAAAAAAAACATATAAGAGAGGTAGAGAAAGAGAGAGAGAGGGGAAAGAGAGAGAGAGAGAAAGAAAGAGGGAGAAGGCAGGAGACGGGAGGGAGAAGGGAGGAGGGAGAGGAGGGAGAGGGGATAGGGCAGAGAGGCATAAGGATGAGGGAAGAGAGGAGGGGAAGAGAGAAGAGAGGAGAGGAGAGAGGAGGGAGGAGGGAGAGGGAGGAGGAAGAGGAAGGTAAGAGCGTGAACGTTCGAGGAAGTCCTAAGCGAAAGCGCCGTTCCTGAAGGAAGTTTCGGGCGGGAGCCCACGACGGGCGGGCGATTTCCTGACGGGCGGGTCGGGCGGGTGGGACATGCAAGCGGGATGCCTGAGTAGGGCGAGAGAGCGATTACTAAGTAAATTGTAACGCTGTCCTTGGCGCAGCGTGCTTCCTGAGCGTCGAAAGAGCGATTTCTGCAAAAATTTCATGAAGTCGCAGGCGAGAGTGCAATTCCTGAATGGAAAGTAAAGGGTTCTCTGGCGGGAGCGGGAGTCTTGATTAAATTGCAAAGAAATCTTGGCTCAATTGCGAAGAAGCCTCAAGCGGGAGCGCCGTTCCTGAGTAAATGGCGCGGAAGTCTCAGATGGGAGCGGGGGTCCTGACTAAATTGCGAGGAAGTCACAGGCGGGAGCACCGATCCTGAGTACATTGTGAGGAAGTCTCAGGAGCGGGGGTCCTGAGTAAATTTGGAGGACGTCTCAGGCAGGAGCCGGTGTTGTAATCCAAGGGGCCAGTGGCACAGTTTGAGCACCAAGACTTTCCCTGTCAAAAAACAGGGTGCGAGCGTCGGGGGGGGCACACTTTGATTGAGAAAACATAATATGCACCAGTGAGGGGGGATCAACAATAATTATTCTTCAGGAATGGAAATTCAACAACAACAACAACAACAACAACAACAACAACAACAACAACACCAACAACAACAACAACAACGACAACGACAACGACAACGACAACGACAACGACAACGACAACGACAACGA